TCCGAAGAAACTAAAGAATTCGACGAAAGAAAGAACGTAAAAATTAGTCGAATAGATATGCTATGAAGGAGAGAATAAAAAAAAGAAAAAAAATACCACCTAATCGTATTGAGATCATAAGTGAGGAAGCTTACTCAAATTGCTGTTCCGTTTATTTAATTGTAACCTACTGATTATTATTGTGACCTTGTAAAAAATTTAAAATTACATTTAGCGTAATACTTGCGATTTTCTTATTGACAAAGTAAGACACAACGCGACCCGCTCAGTAATAAACATGAGCATTTGAGAGCATTCTTCCGAAATATTCCTTGTTTAGAACTATGGTAAATCCTACAGAGTAAATACAATTAAGTCATATATTTAATCAGGTAGACTTTTCAGATCGACGCCCCCCGGCCGAGTACATCGCACAAATTACAAATACCCCTCCCTCCATCCGTTTTAATCAGATACCAACGATCTCTCTTTTCCGTTTTGTTACACTGTTATTTTCTTTTCTCTCTCTCTCTCTCTCTCGTCTTCTTTGTTCTCAACCTCTAATCATCTAAAATTTAAACACTTATTAAGCATCATCGTTACAATATTTTGTAATTATCAATAAGACAAGTAATAATAATAGTGTGTAATAGTTAGTGCAATCATAAATGGTTGCAGTAGGAGCAGTCGCAACGGTAAATAGTGGTAAATAGCTGTAAATAGTTTATAATGGTAATAGTAGTATAATAGTAATAATTATCATAGAAGTAATAATAATAGTAACAATAATTGTAGTCTTAAACGTGCCTAATAATTAACTATTATAAATCCGAGGTAAAAAATAAACTAGTTTCCATATTTGATGCAATACAAAGCCCGTACAGAGACCTGTCTGTAACGGTCAAGAAGTTCTTATGATACAAATTTTCTTTCTCCTCTTCTTTCTTTCTTTCTTTCTTTTCGTACAAAAAAAAAAAAAAAAACAAAAAGTTCGTTATTCGTTTTTTGTCGTTTCCTTTCTCGTCCTCTTCCTTCCCAATTTCTTTCTTTTTTTTTTCTCTCCCGTTTTCGTTCGATCGAATGTAAACGGAAAAGGACCAGACCAGATTAAATTAGAAAAAGAAAGAAATCAATCAAGTCAAAAAGCTAAAGATAAATGTAGAAGAAAAAGGAATTATTTTTTTTCTTTTTTAGACAATACACGTCTACGATATACATATATGTATATGTACGCACATACTACTAGTGATATGAATAGTGAAAAGTAAAAAAAAGTTTGGGGCAGGGACGTTTATAGAAGAGACAAAAAAAGAAAAAAAAATAATGCTTAAGGAAACTGCACCCTGCTGTCAGAGTTTATAGATATACATACATCATATTAAAATGATCTATTTTATTTTACATTATCTCTGTAGTTTAGGTTATAAGTCAGCCTGTGTGAACACCTTACTTAATTATTTCATTAATTACTCGTTACGTTTCATTTATTTACTCGTTTTTTCTCTCTCTCTCTCTCTCTCGCTCGCTCTCTCTCTCTCTCTCTCTCTCAATTCTTCCGTCGGGTTACCCAGCATAACAACTATTTTTTAATAAATACGAGATCTTGGAGGGACGGGTGTCTCAAATGTGCAAGTCAACTCGCTGACCTTCCACTTTGGAGACCGTAATATAATTATTTCTTTTATTTTATTA